CTTTGGATATTCCAACAGAACTTCAGGCACACAAAATTAAATTCGAACATATTGCTGAAAAATAAGCAAATCAAAGGACGATTTCACGCAACAAATGTTTCGATTAAAAAAATGCTACTTCAAACCAAAAAAAAAAAAAAAAACGCTAAGGGGTTGCCACTAAAAGAAACATACATCCCGTTCATATGTGCAAAAAATCAAGAAGTGTGTGTACCATATATGTAGAAAAAAGAAAAATAGAGAAGAAAAAAATTGAATCGCAAGTAAAAACCCCAGAAGCAAAGCACACAACTTTATTTGATATTTGCTGAAGCACGACAATGAATAATAACTACACACATCAAATGCATCTGGTTAAAAAAAAGAGAGGGAAAAAAACGTACAACTAACCGAGCACCCTTCAGTGGTAAATGGTATAGGGGTGCAATTTTCAAGTTTTGCTTTAATAGCGAATTTCGATTATTTCTTTATGTGTGGTTCACAGCGTGAGTGAAATGCGAGGGGGCGCACATTCACAGTTCAGATGGGGTCCAAGATATAGGAATTGTTCCAAAAATTTGTCTTGATTTGCGTGAAATTGCGTTAGGGACTTTTGCATTAGCATATACTGAATATATTTACAGATAAGCAAGAACTTGGTCCCTAGAAAACTGACATTTAATAATATATATATTATACATTTAATAAAATATATATGTATATAGAGATGACTCTATATAAATATATATTAAATGGTTTGTGCTGACAGAATGAATGATTGACTGATGACACTTTTTTGTTTATCATTCGTTCGGCCTCAAAATCATTTTAAAAGATCATTGGAAAAGCTCGTCTGATTCGTGTTTCATACTCTTTGCAAATCAAACTCTCTTGGAATATATATACGTCTGAAAGATTATATGGGCGATGTCTTGAGAATGTTTACTTGAGAGTTGTTCCACTCATGTCGGAAATTAGTCACATGTTGCAGGTGCGAAGCTTTAAGTGATTTTGGATATTCCACCCATTATTGTGGAAATTAGGCGAAAAAACGACTTTTTCAATTATCTTGTATTTAGTATGTATAAAAGGTATCAAGTTTTATCAGTAAAAACATTGCGATTATGAGCATTTTGAATGCTAAAAAATACACATTTAAATCCAAATAGAGACCTGAGCATAGCGCTAAGAGCCTTGAAAGCATTGAGTCCTATAAATAAGATACTTTTTCCTTAACCGCACTCAACTCACAAACAAACTGCAATCACTTTAAGTGAGCAACTCACGCAAACATACACAGCCAGAGAAAATGCAATAAAACTTGGGTAAATAATTTCCCGAAGTATCAGTCGTCTGCCGCCATATTATTTACACAGTTAGCTTCAGCAGACGCCATTTTGTATTGCACTATATTTATTTGTTATTGCAATGGACTTCAGTGTCATATTTATCAACGTCTGTGGCAAATAATTTTATTAACTTTTCGCGCAAAACTTGAACTTAAATTGAGGCTGTGCGGAAGAGGGTAACTTTTCGCTGGCAACTGTGAACTGTTCGCGAAAAGTTTCGGTTAAAACAGGTACAGTGTCTGAGCCTCAGTCTGAGCCTCGTAATTGTGCCCTGGTCCAGCTGGCCGGTGTCCGGTTGTGCCGGCAACTTTGTGTTCTACTACTAGCTGCAGTCCATATTTTATTATTATCCTTTGCGCAAATAAATAGACTTTTGCGCAAATTACAAAGCGCACAACTAACTGGTCGACTTTAAGTTGAGCCAGGATGGCAACTCTGGCGGAATGCATTCGTGCCCGTTTGTTTGTCGCTAGCGACAAAAACTTTGCCCAGATCTAATCAAAAATTCACTTAAAAAGTTTGCGCTTGCCCTCGGCTTCATGGCCAGAGCGGAATGACTTCAAGTGCAGCACCCACCAACCCGCCAACCCGTTCGCGTTCTCATTGTTGCATTTTCATTGTAAGGGAAAGTACAGTCGGCTTTGGTCGAACTTGGGCGAGCACCTAATGAAATGTGCTCTTAACTCTGCGACAAGGTGAAAGTTAAACAATCAGCGAGACTTTTTGGGTTCCTTTATGCGCCGTCTGAGCGCAAACGATGCTCGAAGAGCATTCGCATTTTTCTTGTTTATAATTCTCAACAGCTTTTAACGCAAGCAAGTCTAATACACATGGGAATTGTTTGTGAAGATCGCTGATAGCTATCGAACGTTAAGTAAGTTATCTTAACGGAGCTTCAACGAACAGCAATTATAACGATTGATAGAAAGTATCTTCCCTTAGATTATAAAGTTGCCCATACTGAAAAGAGATATTGAATATATTTGAGAGCTGAGCATGTTCGGTAAGTCAGTGTTGAAAAGTGTTGCTCAATAAATATGTGTTGGATTTGTCGAACATACGGAGAATAAAACTTTTATTCATGATGAAAATAAAATAGAGGCATATAAATATTTATGCTATAATTCGATTGCTGTCCGGACTTTTAAAATTTATTGATAATGCATCTATCACATTTTGTCAATCGTCAATTTTGTCAATTGACAGCTACAACATTTTTATATTTTGGTTACTTAACTTCCACAGGGACATTTGACGTTATTTAAACCAATTGCATTCAATCCATTCGTTTGGCTAATGGACATTGATTCGCAAAACTGTCAGCTGCCAGTGCTGCGAATGGTCACAACATGAACAAACTGTGGCAACAACAAGAATTATTCACATTCAGAATGTCTCATCTACGTTCATTGAGTGACATAAATAAAGTGGCAATTTCAATATGCAACGCGATGAAAGTAACAAAATCTGCAGCCAAATTGAGCAACTGCACAGAAAGCAACTTCAGTTGAAGAAATGCTATCGTGACTCTTGCCACTTGCCCCTCGTCGCACACCTTCCATCCAGAGGCAAACAATGCGCCGGAAAATTGCAACAAAAATTTCGCGTGCACACTCAAAATTTTCAAGTGCAGCTTTATAAAAGGAACCGCCAAGGAACTCAGCTGTCTGTCTTAAATACCCTGTTATTGATAAACAGGCAAATGATGTACGCTGGAGTTGGGTAAATGCATAAAAGAGACTTTTTTTTTTCTGTTTATATGAAAGGTTATTTCTTATATGGAGAGGAGTACGATAATACTGGGTACAGACGATTATATACTGTGTTTATAACGATACCAATGGAAAGAATAAAAAAATAAAAATAAAGTGGATGCAACTTTATGGGATGAGGAAGATTTAAAGACTGTAGAATTTTTTAAAGACAGAAGGACTATTTCGAAGAAACCTTGTGGTAAGACTCGATTGATATGAAATAAAAAGTATATAGTTCTGTTGCAATAAGGAACACTTTCTCTTAATTGGCATCAAAAGCTAATTAGATTTTAAGACTAAAATTCACCTTGTCTTCGGCTGTTCCAAAGTTTCAATCAATATATGGCTTTAAGTCTTATAAAATATATGCTACCTTTAGTTAACCAAAACTTGAACAAAAAAAATATATTATATTTTTAATTTTGGAACTTTTTATTTACTGAGATTATCAAGCATTCGACTTCCAAGCATATCTCCCATGTAATCCAAAAGTTTCATAAGGATCGGTTAAGACTTGATAAAAGCTGTACCAGAAACTATTCACTTCTATAAAAAGCAGAAATACGGGGAATACTTGTACTTTAAAGCTGTCTGCAGGGTATTTACAAGTCTAAGCTTCTAGCTTAGCGTACTTTTACTTGTTTTATTCCAGAAATTTGCACAAAATTTCAAATAACTTGCAATCAAGGTGCAGAGGCTACAAACTTCTATAGTCTGAGTTTTTTCTACTCTTTTGCCTAGATGGTGGGTGCTGGCCCGAGGGGGTTTTGGTAGTATGGGTGTATTTCCCTAAACGCTGTCGCGTCTGGAAATCAATTTAAGTTAACTCAAGTCTATTGTTTCCGCGTCTGTTGAGCGCTTTAAGCATAGCTCTCAGTCTCAGTCTCCCATTCTTTTCATTCCGCTTTCTGAGTGCAAGAGTCGGAAGAATCGGGCTCTGTAGCCAGGAATTTTTATGAGCTGCCGTCGCCGATGACATCGGCCTTCCATCGTGCAACTTCAGACTGCGACTTGCTTGTTAATATTTCACCTAGATTGATACCGAGGGCGCAATGTAGGGGCATTGAGTGGCAGGGGGCAATGGAATTTCATTATATGCAGCCAAAGCCAAGGACAAAGACATGTTTTTAATAGTTTCGCATGTTTGCGCTGCCTGCTTTACTCTTTGCACTCTTAGATTTTTTTTTTGGCAAGTCCCTTTTTAATTTTTTTTTTTATGCTATGCTCAAAGTTTTCACATTTTTGCTTAAGCACTTTGAATAGCTGCATATTTAACCAGCGAACTCGACATGCAAAATCCATCAGTTTAAGCATAATGAGGTTTGGTTTCTTGTAGTGCCGTAGATTTGATAGCGGAGATTTGATTGGATTAATATAAAAGAAGAATCAATACCCTTTCCATTTCTAAGCAGACTGTTCCAATTGGAGTTATATAATATTATATTTATATGTTTATGTGGTCCCATTTTATTAAGATTTTATACATGCTTTCGGAGCGTAGTTTGCTTACAAAAATATGTATTCACACAAAAACTCATTTTTATAGTCCAAAAAGAAACACGGACATTGACTATGTTGTTGTACTGGGGTCGGAAATGTCTCCTTCTACCAGCTACATACGTTTACATTAGCCAATATACCCGATTTACCCTTTAGGGCATCGGCATTGGTTCATTCAAGTATTCTACATCTTTGAAATAGTTGTAGTCTTATTAAACATTTTTAAATTTATAACACTATGATGACATATTATTTTGGTCAATGGTTTAGATATATCTAGCTTTTAGTGCCCATATCAGTGCTGCCGGTCAGTCGTCAATCATGACTGAACTGCCAAAGTCTATACAAACATATGTATATATGTAGGTAACTGATAAGCATAACAATATCAATTGCCCGGTTTGGCACATTATTCAGTCACTAAGCAGGTGCGGAAGAACGCAGAACTACGAATGGAAAGCAAAATATTTGTTCTGCTTATATCGGCACTCATCTGGACGGACTGTGCGCAATCTCAGCTGCCAGATGATTTAAGTTGTGAAACTGTTAGTACACAGCGACTCAACTTAACAGCTGTAAGTTTGGCTCCTAACAGCAACTGTTAACATGCTGTTAATGCTCTCTTTAATTCAATGCTCCCTCTAATTTACAGCTGGCGGGCTACTGGTACGAGGCAGTCAGAGTGCCGAATGTGGATGTTATGAAATGCTTAAATGTCTCCGTGCCGGCAACGGTAGATCATGAATTGGAACTGCAATTGGAGTACGTCAACACGGTTGATAAACGACCTCTGACCGTTAAGGAGAACATAACATTTCCATGGGATGACGCAACTGCAAACGGCCTTTTCACCTTGGTATACATTACCGAGCTGATGAACATAAGTGTCACCTACAAACTGGTCTATGCCCAACCGAAGCTTATGGCCATTCTTTGCGGCTACTCTAGCATTTCGCCGATGCCGCTCTTCAAGATTTTTACGCGCCAACGTCAGCTCGATCCAATTATTGTCAGCTATATTACCACGCAATTAGATAAAACGCCCTATGGTAATAATATTCATTGGACAGAACAATCACCGGATCGTTGTAATGCTGCAGTCAGTCCAAAACTGACACTCATAATAGCATTTGGATTGGCTATCATTTGTAGTCTATGGAGTTAATCAGCTGAAACAATCGGCTGCTTATCGTTATCTGCTTATCATTATAGAGTTATGAGTCATTTTTGTGAAAACAAGTGTTGAAAAGAAGTGTCAAATATTCGTATTTAAAAGATATTCATAGATCTGAGTAAGCGGACTGTACGAACAAATTTGAGCTGCAACCGATTTTATGCGTAGCACTCAGGCAGTGCATTGCCTAATTATTATTATAATTTTGCAATAACAAACAACAAAAACGTAAATGTAATTAAGCTTTATTAATAATATATAATAATGTAAATATAATTCTAGTCAAGTTGTACAGAAGCAAGTCAAAATATCAATCAAAATATTAGCAAATTTGTGTTCAATAAATTCTGGCTGTTATAATACATAAGAATTTGAGGGCGCAGATACCCTCAATTGCAGAAAACATGTAAACCACATCCAAATCAAAATTCGAAATCAATCAAGTTTCTGTTACTTCGAGTGGAGCATAGATTATCTGTAGGTATTTTACCTGTGCAGAGGGTATTATAATTTTGTCGTGCATAAAGTTTATTTATTCTTGATCGGTAACAGCAGCCGAGTCGATATAGCCATATCTGTCTGTCCGTCTGTCGGTTTCTATGCGAACTGTTCTCTCGGTCTTAAAGCTATCTTTATGAAACTTTGCAGAAGTGATTCTTTCTGTTCTGGCATTCTGCCCTAGCAACAATCTGTCTTGTATGAACAACTTTTTTGTTATTAAGACCAAACTAAACCTTGACCAAATTCGCCATTTATTAGTTTTAATCAACATAGCCCTACTTCCTCGTTTTTGTGTGCGATAGAGTTGTTTCCCACACCACTTGATGTTGCGCCAGATAAACAACAGCTCACACAGCGTACTTTATCTAGGTACAAACCTTGTTATTTAATTAAAGATGACAAAAATGTCGCGAGTCTCTTAAGACTTTTGATTTTATTCGCTTTCAGTGGGCAACCGAATCGGGCATACTTTATCATAGCAGCTATTGGTCAAGCAGCTTATTGATGTATATTAATTCTACGGCAGTCTGGAGATAAGTGTTATCTCTGGTCATTTTAAAGTTTAATGCATTTGTGAGCATAAGACTTTATATAGGTACTCATGACTTTTATAAAACTGATAAATAAAAATAAAAAAAAAAACAATTTAAACTTATAGGCAAATAATTTGCATAAGAAATTAATTTGTTTTATTTGAATTATGAATAATAATAATACAAATGATACACTTTACACTTTAGCTAAAATGATTCTGTACATTTGTTGATAAGCGTTTCAAGTTTTAAGTGTCTAGTTTTCCATATTAATACAAACTATGTCGCTCAGTTCTCATATTACAAAGCTCTCTACACTCAGAATAGGGTAGATTTGCGTGTGCCTGAACAATAGTTGTCCGATAAGCCGAGTTTTATAAATAGACCCGAGTCCGGCAAGCTGGTTTGTATGCCGCTCAGTTTACTTGTGGATGCAGGGCTGAGCACAGATCTCCGAATGAATGCGCATTTATTTGTTGGGCTGCTTTTAGCGCTTATCTGGACGAACGGTGCTCAATCTCTGCACAGACTTGCGGCTATGAAGGACGTAAAGTGCGATGACAGCGTTCCGGGACGTCCTCTGAATTTAACTGCAGTAAGTTGGAATCTTCAGAATAAAGTCTATGCTAGTTAATTTCCGAATGCCTCAGATGTCGGGTTATTGGTACGAGGCAGGACGCGCACCCAAAGTTAGTGTTTTGAAATGCTTGAATGTCTCGGTGCCAGCAACTGCGGATATAAAACTAAAACTGAAGTTGGAATACATAAGCACCATAGCTGATGAAATTAATGCTGTTAAGGAGACAATTTCGTTTCCCTGGGATGATTTAACAAAAAACAGCATTTTTGTGTTAAACTATGGCGACGCATCCAAATTTCCCATCTCAGTCACCTACAAAGTGGTTTATAGCGACCCTCAACTGTTGACCGTGCTCTGCGGCTACTCGAGCATGTCGCCTATGCCGCTCGTCAAGATCTTGTCGCGTCAGCGCCAGTTAAGTAGCGATGTAATTGATAATATTCAAGCGAAAATCGACAAGGCGGGCTTAAGCGATTATTTTATTTGGACAGAACAATCACCGGAACGTTGCAATGCTGCAGTGCGTCCGGCCACAGAAGCGGCTACAATGCTCGCCGTGTTGACTCTTCTATGGGGTCTGCTCCAAAACAATTGTCGTTTATAGTGTGGAATATATGCTTATCTTTTATACCGACTAATTCAATATATACCGACTCAGTAAATATATATAAATCATATAAATATATGCCGAACAAACAATTTAAATGTAAATGCTCAATCTATATTTCTATATATAAAACAGTTCGTCCTGACTGACTGACTTATTGACTCGCTGAAATTTTCACTGTAGTTACCTTGAGTGATGAAGGTGTACGATTAGACGAGGTTTCGGGTACTTTCACTTGCAAGAGTGGAGAAATCGCGAAAAACGTTTGAATTAACCATCTGATCGGCCTTCAAATCAATTGTAAAGTTCTTTGTTTTAATTCATTTGAGGGATGTTTCCCGCTTTTGCGAAAATGTATTCCTCCTTGGCGGAAACGGAATTCAAAGATTTGGTGGGTGACGTTCCGCGCTCAACTTAATTTCCAATGATCTCTAGGAAAAATCAATAAACACGTGTTTAATATTTAAGTTTAAGTTTTTTATTTTTAAAGCTCTACTTAAGAACTTTATGAATACGTGTTTCAGCGATTTGGGAAATTTTAAAACTTTTTGCTTATAAATATATCTTACTAAAGCGTGGCATTTATAAGTCTTACTATGCCGCCTAGTAGTAGGAACATTAGGACATTATATGGTAAAATATTTTGTTTTCAAAGAAATTTCGACAAACTAAGCTATATTAATTATATTAAAGCTAAGATAACATCTCCGACCTCAAAAAGAATATATATTCTTGGTCTGCATTAGCCGGCGCTGTCTTAAAGCTATCTTTTTGAAACTATGCAGAAGTCCCTCTTTCTGTTGCACACAGCACATATGTCAAATCTAGCTGGATCGAACCACTATATCATATAGCTGCCATAGGAACGATCAGTCGAAAATTAAGTTGCATACAACAAATGTTTATTAATTGAGATATCTTGACTAAACTCGGCATTATTAGGTTAACTATGCTCATATATTTGCAAAGTTCTATTCAGATCAGACCACTATATCATAAAGCTGTTATAGGAACGATCGGTAGAAAATTAAGTTGTTGTATGGAAAATTTTTTGTCACTCAAGATAATGCCGAGATTTCACTATGCTCCATTCATTTTTGCAATATCTTATTTACATCGGACTACTATATCATAAAGCTGTATCATAAACGATCGATGGAAAATCAGGTTTTTGATTAACCACTATGAGACTTATTAGATCTTTGGCGTGCCAAAGATAGACCCTCTTTCTTGTTTGTTTGTATATTCGTGTTTATTCATTAGTGTAAAATTATCTCAACTTTTGCAGCATTTTAAATTACATTACTGTTGTGCGTTCTGTTTTAGTGTTTCGTGCATAGTTTTTAAAACAATTTTACGCTAATATTTATGTTTTTTCCAATGCTCAGTGTTAATAATTTGTTGAGTCTTTCGTCTATTTTGTTGTTGCTGTTGCATTTTTCCAGCTGATAAGCGATTTATATTCAGATTAAATAAAGAAAATATATACATAAAGCGAGCTGAGAGATGAATTCAGCGGGTTAAAGGGGACTCGTGCAGCGGGGTCGGTGGTTCGATTTTGAGGGCAGTCGTGCACGCCCATGGCTCAATAAGCACACACAAGTGCAATTTTATAGCGTAGCTAACGTGAGCAATGCGCAAAGAAATTGAAAAACAAGTAAGCATTTTGAGGTCGAATAAGCGCGACTAGGAGATACCACGTAATTGCTTCTCAATGGGAATTGAAATGTGGCAAAAATATGAAAACTCACAAAAATATTTATATTTTTCGTAAAATAAAACATATAAAATCAAGATGCTTTACTTATTAATTAATTATTTGGTGTAATAATAAGGTATTAATTATATGTCTAAGGTAAGGTACAAATTTGTGAATAAGTTCATTTTAATACAGTTTTTTTACAGAATTCGTAAGATCCACATACTATTTAATTGGCTCAGCAATATGTTAATCACTCTGTGTATATATTTATAATTGCAAAAAAAATAATTATTATTTTCCTGAGAAACGTCACAAGCACATTGCAAAAATGCAAATAGCCCCTCATATTTCTAAGCATTTCTAATAACTACAGGGTACTCAAAAATAGCACGGCACATTGAAGAATTTTCCATTTTCTTGGCAATTTTCATTTTCATAAACTGGCTGCGGCCAAATGGGGCCAAATAAAGCGAATGGAATGAAAATGCTTTAAGTAGGGCCGCCAGCGCTTTCGGCTGGAACATCAACTCCATCTAGCTTCGACTTCATTGGCTTTTTGGGCAGCTGGTGCGCCAAGGAGCTGACCAGCTGTGTGGTTCGGTTCGTCCATGGATTGAAGTCAATGAAGTGCAAATCGTGGCGCAGTGGCCACTTTCATTGATTTGATGCGTTTGCGTGTGCCGCTTGCGCTTGTTCCATGCTTGACTTGATCGACACACGAACCAGCAGCTGCGATGTTTTGTTAGTGGAAGCTGTTGCTGTTTACCTAAAGCTAGCCAAGTGAAATTGAAAGCGCCTTTCGGCTACCATAATTGTGGTCAGCTTCGGACGAGCGCTGCTTTCTGTTGGCTTTTCCTAATAGCGTGCGTATGTGCTTCTGTCTGCGTGTGTGTGTGTGTGTGTGTGTGTGGCTGGGTGTGTCTGTGTGTGTGCACAACATGATTACTTTGCCAAAGCCGATTCGACGTAAATCATGCGATGACTCTGCGAAAATGGCGCAAACATGCAAGCCCCCTGACACCAACACGCCCCTCGCCCTTTCGAATGCTTGTGCCCTAAAAGCTACAGAAAAGCGAAAGTTAATGTGGCACATGAGGTCGCCGAAGAGCAGAAGAGTTAACAAGTTTTAGCTGGGATTCGGCCTACGTGGTTCAATTACTTTTGACATTTCTTTTAACAAATATACAGCACGCTTCAAGGCGCACACCTTTGTGGTAAGCTCTTGGCCTATGCAGAGAGAAAGAGAGAGAAGATTGGCGAAATATCTGGACCAGTTGAGACCCAATGCCCGCAGGTTCAAAGAGTCTATGAGTTGCACAAATCTCAACGTTCTACTTAATTCACTTTTTTTACCCTATTAGAGAGTATTTTAATTTTGTAATGAAATGTGTAACATCGCCATAAACCATATATAGTCTGATCGGAATAAGTAGCCGTCGTCGTGAAATTGTGCATAGGCAGTAGATATGTCGGAATCGGCTGGATCGGAGCACATGACAATGCTGATATAGGTACAATAGATATTATTATTCAAGATAATATGATCAAATTTAATTAACATTAAGTTAGCATCTTTTATAGGTGCCCTATGAACCATGGCTCGTTCCTATTTCTTAAACGTTTTGTTTATTACTTAACCTGCCCTTGCATCTTCATATAACTCCAATATGACATATGACACATATCAGCAAAGTAAGTCCCATTCCTTTAAGAATATTTAATCTTCGGCATATCGAATAAAGCTGTTTCTTTTGTGTTGTACTCTTTTAAATTCGTCACAATAGGATTTGTTCGAAAACACGTGCCTTGGATCATTTTCCTCAAAAGCAAACGACTAAAATATGGGTTTAATCAAATATGTGCAATTGAAATAGCTAAAGAATATAGGAAAGGCTTACATGAGCGAAATGAGGGCTCGTTCCAGAGTAGGAAAAAAAAAGACTCATGTCAGCGTTAGCAAAGGTTCTTGCCCCATAATAACGTAAATATTGAACAAAGTCAGGGCTAGAATCTTTGAGATTAAGCTATTATAAATCTAACATCTTATCTTAATAATCCAACAAATTAGGTTAGGCTCAGTGAATAAACCAATTTTAAAAAAAATTTAAATTTGGTTTCAATTTTAACTCAACATATCGAGTAAATAATTTATTTTGTCATGCTTAAGCGGTCCAATAAATTTAATATGTGTCTATCAATATTTGAATAAACCATGTAATTATTCATCGTCTTAAAATTGTAGCTGATTTTTGAATTGATCCATTCCCCCCACCCCCAGACTCGAGCGCTTGTTGATTTTGTGACATTCAGAAATCGCGCAATTTGATTTGCCCGACAGCAAATCAAAGTCGTAAATCAGCGAACCGTTGACAAATTAAGTATCTGAGAAAATCATATCAAGAAATTTGCATAGCAAGCGTCTGCCTCAATAAATATCAAGTTAATTAAATTTGACACACACTCACACCGGCAAGTCGCAGTGTAGGAGCTGAGGGATAATACGATTGTGTCAAAAAAAAAGTAAACAATTAAGCAAAATGTTGAAAATAACAAGTAAGAACGAACAGATACAGATACAGACACACGGCATTAAAAATGAGCGTGGATGGGCTAAAATGATATCCGTGAATTTCGAGATCACGCATACGGCGTGTGTGCGGAATTCATCGTATTTAATTTTTAATTATTAGTAAATTTACTTAAAAGAATTGACAGACAGGTGAGTATGGGAATATCTAACCTGTAGCTTACAACTCTCCGTACAACTTAATGAAGAACTCTTTATGGAACGGCTACAGGGTATAAAAATGTGAATTCGATTGCAATTGAGTAAGCCAAAAGCTTGCACAACATTCAAAGGACGAAAGCAAAGAAAAGCAGAGAAGAGTATGGGCTGTGGGAAAGAAAATGGTCGTAAAAATCAAATGAAAATCGATTGACGTTTAAAGTGAAATTGCACAATGTTTGCAATAAAATGTTGCCACTGTAAAATATCGCCTGAGTCGCTGCAGTTGCAGTTGCCACAATTTGGCCATGGGAAAGAGCTGCCAGAGTTGCCAGGCGCTGCTGAAATGACGAAGATAAAAACGCAATCAAACAACAAAAAATGTCCTGTATGTGCCATATGTTTGTGTTTGTGCTATTTGCTTGATTGTGTGTGTGTGTGTGTGTGTGTGTGTGTGTGTGTGTGTGTGTGTGTGTGAGTAAATGCACTCGAGCACGCGCTGCGGCGATGAAAGCAACGATAACGATACCAGCAAAAACAACAACCATAACAACAAGCCAAAGAAATAAATTGCTACGCTTTTTAAATACTCTAAAGGTTAAAGTAATATGTAAGGAGAACATATTACTTAAACCTTTAGAGTTATT